GGATGAGGATGAGGATAAGGATGAGGATGAGGATGATGATGATGCTGCTGATGATGACGATGATGCTGATGACTGATGATGATGATGATGAGGAGGATTATGATGATCATGATGATGATGCTGCTGCTGCTGATGATGATGATGCTGATGATGATGATTATGGTGATGATGATGATGATGCTGCTGCTGATGATGATGATGAATAAGATGATGATGATGATGCTGATGATGGTGATGATGATGCTGCTGCTGCTGATGATGATGATGCTGATGCTGATGCTGATGCTGATGCTGATGCTAATGATGATGATGATGATGATGAGATGATGATGATGATGCTGATGATGATGAGATGAGGATGAGGATGAGGATGAGGATGAGGATCAGGATGATGATGGATGATGATGATGATGATGATGATGATGATGATGATGATGATGATGATGATGATGATGATGATGATGATGATGATGATGATGATGATGATGATGATGATGATGATGATGATGATGATGATGATGATGATGATGATGATGATGATGATGATGATGATGATGATGATGATGATGATGATGATGATGATGATGATGATGATGATGATGATGATGATGATGATGATGATGATGATGATGATGATGATGATGATGATGATGATGATGATGATGATGATGATGATCGGGTAAGGACAGAGTGGTCTGGGAGCAGTGCTCGGCTCAGTTACCTTGCGTTCGGCATGCACGGTCGCAAGGGCCCCGTGGGGCCCAAGCAAGACCCAGGCGACGAGGGACGGGCCCCAGACGCCAGACTGGGGCAGCCCCCCGCGGCCACCAGGAGCATCGCGGTCAGGCCGCCCCCTTCCGCCAGAGCCCTCGCGGGCTCGGCGGACGTGAGAGCTCCCAGACCCTGACGGAGGACCGCCGACGGTCGCCATGGGGCCGTCGGCCGAGTTTTTCGAACCGCGTCCAGCGGGTCTAATCTGCGCGCCCACAGGCCGACCCGCAGCTCGAATGGCGTGCAGCTGGCTCGGGCGGCTCAGCCAGGACGGCGCCCCGCTGCCGCCGTCGGCCGCGTCGAGCCGCCTGGCCGCCCGCCTCGGCGCGGGCGCGTCTCGGGCCGCGCCGCCAGCACCGCCGCCGCCGCCGCCGGCCTCGTCGGGCCGCCTGGCCTCCCGCCGCGCTCGCCCTCCAGCCGCGCCGCCTGGCGGCGGAGCCGCGCTCGGCGCCTCGCCCGCGGCGGCGCACCGCCCGCGCGCGGCCCGCCAAGCCGTCGCGGCGGCCAGGCGGCCCGCCACAGGGGCCCGAGCAGAAGCCTGTCCCGCGAGGGGCACCGCTGCCGCGCGGCGGCTGCGCTCTGGGCCGCGGGCGCCAGCAAGAGCGTGCCGACCTCCGAGGCGCATCCCATGCCGAGCTTCCACAGGTCCGAGAGCGGGGCCGATGAGACGGCCAGGGCTGCGTCCATCACCGCGCCAGTGGCGATGAGCCCTGCCGCCGAGGTCCCCTCCAGCACCATGGTGATCACCGCGTCGAGGCACGAGATGCCGATGGCGATGATCGCGACGAGCGGCTCCATGAGGCGCGGCGCCGAGGCCTCCGCGACGAGCGGCTCCACGAGGCGCGGCGCCGAGGCCTCTGCGGCGAGCGGCTCCGCGAGGCGCGGCATAGAGGCCACAATGACGAGCGGCTCCTCGAGGCATCGACCCGAGGCCTCCGCGACCTCCGCGATGAGCGGCACCACGAGGCGCGGCGCTGGTAACGAGGCCTCCACGACGAGCGGCTCCACGATGCACGGCGCCGAGGCCGCCGCGACCTCCTCGATGAGCGGCTCCACGAGGCGCGGCGCTGGCGCCGCCGCCCTCACGACGAGCGGCACCACGAGGCGCGGCTCTGAGGCCCCCGCGACCTCCGCGATCGGCTCCACGAGGCGCGGCGGCGAGGCCGAGTCCTGCACCTCCTCGCCCACTCCCGCGAAGAGCACGCTGGGCGAGGGCAGGGCGTACGGCCTGGCCGCGTTGCGGAGCGGCGTGCCGCCGCCGGCCGCCGCGATGGCAGCTGCCGCGGCCCGCGCTCCAAGGGCGGCGGCCGAAGGCCTCGCGGCCTCCAGGGCCTCGCAACGCCGCCGCCAGAACTGGGCGTCGGCCTGCGCCTGGCGCAGCAACGCCTCGGCGGACCAGCGGGCCCACAGACCCCCTGGGCCCGCCGCCGTCTCCGGTCTGCTGAGCTTGCGGCGGCCGCACCGGCGTGGCGGGCCGCTTCCCGTTCGCGCACATCAGCAGCATCGGTGCGCATAGTCGCTATACGGCAAGGCGAGCAGGTCTCGGGCCGCATTGCATGTATGATGAGGCTGATTATGTTGCTGCTGCTGATGATGCTGATGACGCTGATGATAATGATGATGATGATGATGATGATGATGATGATGATGATGATGATGATGATGATGATGATGATGATGATGATGATGCTGATGCTGATGCTGATGCTGATGCTGATGATGCTGATGATGAGGATGATGAGGATGCTGCTGCTGATGACGAGGATGATGCTGATGCTGATGCTGATGCTGATGGTGCTGATGCAGATGCAGATGCTGATGCTGACGATGATGATGATGATGATGATGATGATGATGATGATGATGATGATGAGGCTGAGGCTGAGGATGATGACGATGATGAGGAGGAGGAGGAAGAAGAGGATGAGGATAAGGATAAGGATAAGGATAAGGATAAGGATAAGGATGATGATGATGATGATGATGATGATGATGATGATGATGATGATGATGATGATGATGATGAAAATGATGATGATGATGATGATGATGATGATGATGACTAGGATGAGGAGGAGGATGCGGAGGCGGAGGATGATGATGATGATGATGATGATGAGGAGGAGGAGGCGGATGAAAGTACTACTCATAATGTTCATATGTATAATACTAATACTACTAGTAGACAATAATCGTAATGCGAGTACTAGTTGTAATGCTACTCCTAATGATAGTAGGAATAATCACAATGATACTAAGGAGAAGCATCAACCTATTAATAATAAGAACGATACGAATGATGCTACCAATCATAAGTATTGTATTCCGAAAGAAATACTGATGCCAATAAGAATACAACTAATGCTACGAAGCATAGTAGTAATACGAACGCTAAACATTACAATACCAATAATGGTACTAGTAGTACTACTCATAACTACGACAAATAATATAAATAATACGCCTAAGAAGAAATTGAGGAGGAAAAGGAGGAGGAGGAAAAGGAGGAGGAGGAGGGGGAGGAAGAGGAGGAGGAGGAGGAGGAGGAGGAGGAGGAGGAGGAGGAGGCGGACGCGGAGGCGGAGGCGGAAGAGGAGCAGGAGAAGGAGGAGGAGGAGGCGGAGGCGGAGGTGGAGGCGGAGGCGGAGGCGGAGGCGGAGGCGGAGGCGGAGGCGGAGGAGGCGGAGGCGGAGGCGGAGGCAGAGGAGGAGGTGGAGGAGGAGGCGGAGGAGGAGGAGGAGAAGGAGGAGGAGGAGGAGGAGGAAGAGGTGGAAGAGGAGGAGAGAAGGAGGAGGAGGTGGAGGAGGAGGAAGAGGAGGAGGAAGAGGAGGAGGAAGAGGAGGAGAGGAGGAGGAAGAAGAGGATGTGTTGAGGAGTTTGTTTCGCCTTGCCTCAACGGCATTTTGGACCCCAGGGGAGGGGAAAAGGGGGGATGGGGACAGCCAAATGTCTCGCATGCCTTGTCACCTCAAGCAAGCGGGGGCCGGCGGATTGCGCAGCGTCTTTTCGCCCGCCTAACACTACCCTTTCAGGAGGGGCGCATCGTTCTACAGGCCTGAGGCCGGCGCTGGGTGGGGGTATTTCGTGACTTTTCACGCTCTCACTCTCTCTTGGGCCACGGTTTACCTCATGAGCTCGCCTGTCGCAGGTCGGCTCGTGGATTGCACCTGGTTTGCCTGGCGACTCTTTGTATCGTATGACAGTCGAGATTGTGACGAGTAGAGCTTGGCTTCGTTTTCTGTGATCTATTTGTACATACATACATAAGTACAAACATGCATACATACATACAACCACAACTTACATACACACATACATACATACATACGTACATACATACATACATACATACATACATACATACATACATACATACATAACTACATACATACACACATACATACACACAACCATATACATACATGCATAAGTGCATGCAGACATGCAGACATACACACATACATTCATCCATACACACATACATCCATGCATGCCTACATGCATGCGTGCATGCATACATACATGCACCCACACATACACACACACATACATACATGCATGCGCACGTACATACATCCATACTTACACATACTAGATTAGGTATGCATCGAGATGTGTACATACACATATGCACATACGCACAGACGTATAACCATTCATACATGCATACATACATGCACACCTGCACACATGTATGAATGCGTGCATGCATACATAACATCATGCATGCATACATACATGCGTGCACACATCCATACATATGTACATACAGACACGAACGCATACACGCATGCACATAGATACATACATGCATACATGCATGTATGCAAATATACATACATACGTAGGCACACATACATACCTACATCCATTCATCCAGCCATCCATCCATCCACCTTTCCATGCATGCATGCATGCATGCATACATACATACACAGGTATGCACGTAAATATCAGACAAACATACCTATACATATATATATACATATCTCGATATATTATATATATATATATATATATATTTACGTACACATATATATACACACGTCGGGGACGGATGTAGGTAGTCCGTCTCCATCCCGCCAGGTTCCTCCACTTCTTCTCCCTGACCGCGTTCCGGCAAGACGGTACTTGTAGCGTGGAGCGTGGACCAGAAACGAAGGTTGGACAGTTGCTTGTTATATCCATATCTGCTGGGGACTGCGATTGCGGTGTCCTGACTGGTGGAGGACAAAAAGACCTCCGATAAGAAGGAGAGCGACCAGTACATGGAGGGGCTGAAGCAGCTTGGCAGTTTCAACACGATCCAGGCCTGCATTAATGTCTGCTCCTTGTGCCGCAAGAGTGACGGCAAAGTCTTGGTTGTGTTGCTCAATCGCTGGGTGCAGTCCACGCTTCGTTTGTGTTGGCGGGTCCACAGGACACCAGCAATGATCGAACCCGCATTGTTGGGCGTTGTCTCAAGAACACTGGTAGGTCGATGTCCAGCACCAGTCGATCTGTTTTGGAGCTAGATCATATGTGATGAGGCGTCAAGTTACCGCCACGATCGCTGCCGCGCGGAAGCACATCCATTTGTCGCTCGGGCTCCGCGAAGTTGCCCTCCCCGTTCCCGTCCGCTCTGCTCGTTGCGTCTCCCCTGTTGCCCGCCCCCTTCTCATCCCATCCTTCGGCGGCGAGCGAAGGAGGGATGTGAGAAGGAGAAGGCCTTCCGAGAAGTTTTCTGCGCCGTCCCCGAAGACACGGAAGGTTACTGGGCTGACCCCCCCCCCTGCGTTTTTGAGGCTTCTCGGCTTGCTGTTCCTTTTTCGTTTTTTTGTGGGTGGGTCGTTCGATATTTTTTTGGGGGGGAGACCCTTTCTGAATCGTTTCCATTTCCGTTTCAGTGCGCCTGGGGCTTCGTGCGAGGGGTCGGGGCCTTTGAGAACGGGTGGCGCCTTTTTGTCACGCTTTCGATCATGCGACCCCTCGCGCAATCATGTTCGTGCAAACAAAACATGAAACATGAAGTTTTTCTTGTTTCTTTTTTCTTCCCCCTCCCCTTCCCTCCCTCCCTCCCCCCTCCCTCACCCCCCACTCCTCCCCCCCCTCCCCCCTCCCTCCCGTCCTCCTCCTTCTCCTCCCCTCCCTCCTCCCGTCCTCCTGCCCTCCCCCCTCCTCCCCTCCCCCTCGTCTCTCCTGCCCCCCCCCTTCCCTGTGCAACGGATGTGCCGTCTAGGCACGGTTCTGACGTGACCCCGCCCCCTGGGGGCACCCAACACACACGCCACCTCATTCACCACTCGTGGGGGGTGGGGGTGCGCGGTAGAGGGGGGTCCCTGAGGCTTAGGCTGAGGCTGAGGCTTCGGCTTAGGCTTCAGCTAGGCTTCGGATAAAATTTGGCTGGGGCTCAAGCTAGGCTAGGCTGAGGTTTAGGCTAGGCTTAGGCTGATATTTAGGCTGAGGACGGCGGAAGGAGAGGGAGATATAGAGAGAGAGAGAGAGGGAGGAGAGGGGAGGCAGCGTCGATGAAAAACACAGCGGGTAATCCGCGCCGATGCCAGCAGCAAGCAAACCACGCGTTCTGTCTCCCAGAAAACTAAATCCTTTAAAACGCAGGGGATATTCGGCCTCTGAGCCGACACAGAAAACCTTGCAGAAGACCGGAGGGCTTCTGAGAAACTCCGCCGCCCTTTTGAGAGGGCCTTCTCCTTCTCACTTCCCCCTTCGCTCGCCGCCGAGTCCTCTCTCGCGCTCTTTTCTTTCCTCCTGCTTGTGATCTCTGCCTCCGGTGTAGTCTCCCCGTTGCTCTCTTCTGTCATCGAACCCGGCCTGCCAAGGGTGCTCGCGCTTTCTGCCCAGCGGTGGCCCGCTCAGCGGCCTGAGCCTGAGTGTTAGTCGCCCCGGTGCGGCCAGAGGTCCATCTCCATGGGGGCGTCGCGTAATGGGGAGGTGATAAAAGTTTTGGGGGGGGTGGCAGCGAGGGCAACAGAAAAGGGGCCCTTTAGGGCCCCTTCGGGGGGCTCTTTAGGGCCCAGAACGGGGCCTTCAGGGCCCGAGAAGTGCACGTTTGTTCCTTTACGTATCGTCCACCCATTGAGCGACCCCGAACTTCCAGGTGCGGTTCTGCCTTTTGCCAGACCAGCACAGCTCCTCATCTGATGCTCACGCCCCCTTCCCGTCCGTAGCAGCACACACAATGTGCACACATAGCTTGCTGAGCATGTCTCTGCCATCGTTGGTGTTTGTGTTTGTGTGTGTGTGTGTGTATTTTGTGTGTGTGTGTGTGGTTTGTGGTTTGTTGTTTGTGGTTTCTCTCTCTCTGTGTGTGTGTGTGTGTGTGTGTGTAGGGAGGGGTTGGGGGCGAAGGGGGGGAGGGAAGGTGGGAGGGAGGGAGGAGATAGGGAGGGGAGGGATGGAGGGAGGAGGACGAGGAGGAGGAGGAGCATGGATGAGGAGGAGGAGGAAGAGGAGGAGGAAGAGGAAGAGGGAGGGAGGAGGAGGAGGAGGAGGAGGAGGAGGAGGAGGAGGGAGGAGGAGGAATACGGTCTGAGAAGGAGGAGGAGGAGGAGGAGGAGGAGGAGGAGGAGGAGGGGGAGGAGGAGGGGGAGGAGGCAGCACGGATCCGCACAGGATGAGTCACCACGGTGACCGACCCTGTGCGGACCCGTGCTGCTGATGCAATGCGTGCGCGTGTCTTGTGCAGAGATCGAGGAACAAGCGATGGTGAGGATGTGCGCGCGGAGGAGGAGGAGGAGGAGGAGGAGGATGTAGAGGATGGGAGTAAAATATATCCACGAAGGGCTTCTACCGCCACTACTCGCACCTGCACAGGCCTGCAGGGTAGCGCCCCGGGGAACCCGTGCGGGGAGAGGGCATGTGTTGCAGGCAGCGCGTGCGAGTGGAGATCGAGCGGTCGCTCGAGCAGAAGTGGACGAGAGACGGGTAGACGAAGTAGTGAAAGGGTCAGGGTCTCTCCGTTGCTTGAATATCCGAGCGTGGGCAGGGCCCAGAAGGGGCTCCGTTTCTTGTTCCCTGACTGCTGACAGTGTGACTTTTCAATCCGCGGCCCCAGGGGCATGTGTCCTGACCGCTTCCATGGCTAGTTCTCCGTCCTGGATCCGCTCTTGATGGTCCCTGGGCCCGAAGACGGCCAGGAGGGCCGAGGTCGAGAAAATTCGCCTGGCGCAGGACTCGAGCACATGCAGTTGTGAATACCGCAGTTGTAGGTATCGTCTTCGGTGGAGCCCCCTTGCAGGGCCACGAAGCGCTGAACCGGGCGGGGGAGACGCATGCGGACTGCGCCACCAGGGCCCTCGGTGGAGCTCCCTATGGTGCCACCGAACGCCGTCGGTGGAGCTCACTACGGGGCCACGAAACGCTGTGCTGGGTCGGGGAGACGCATGCGGGCTGCGACACTGGGACCTTTGGTGGAGCTCCCTATTTGGCCACGAAGCGCTGAACTGGGTGGGGGAGGCGCATGCGGGCTGCGCAACTGGGGCCTTCGCTGGAGCTCACTACAGGGCCACGCAACGCTGTACTCGGTTGGGGAGACGCAGACGGGTTGCGACACTGGGACTTTTGGTGGAGCTCCCTATGGGGCCACGACACGATGGAGCTCCCTATAGGTGGGGGAGACGCATGCGGGCTGCGCAATTGGGACCTTTGGAGGAGCTCCCGATGGGGCCACGAAGCGTGAGAGGGGCGTGCCAAAGTGAGGGGTGTGAGGGGAGGAGGGAGGAGCGGGAGGAGGACGAGAGGAGAGGAACGCGGGGCACTGTCTCTTCAAAACGAGGACCCAACACGACAGTATGGTTGGGAATCGCGCGGGGATGGAAAAGCATTTGATCGTTGGTTTTGGAGACTTGGGTTTTGATGCTCCGTTTTGCAGGACGTCGGCTGTAGGCTGCAGTGGTCGGGCAGGAACTGCCCATCACCCTGCTGGAACCATGGCCTGCCTTCTTTCTGGCCTGCCTTGGCCCTGGCCCTCGGCTCTTCCTCCTCCTCCTCCTCCTCCTCCACCTCCGTTCCCCTCCCCCTCCCCCTCTCCGTGTCCTCCCCTTGCCCTTGTGCTTCCTTGCCCTTGTGTGTGGTGTGCTCTCCCGCTCCCTCCCTCCTTGGCTTCCACCCCCGTCTCCCCGTCCCTCCGTCTGTTGGCCCGGTCTGTCCTTTCCTGTCGTTCTCCCGCCCTCCCCCTCCCTTTCTCGCTCCTCGGCTCCTCGCTGTCCTGCTTGCTCCTGTCCCTTGCCTCGCCCGCGTTCCTTTGTCGGCCCGTCCCGTCGTCGGAATAAGAGATCCGGGGGCCCGCACTGCCACGCTGGCGAATAGCCGGGCGTGTTCAGCACTGTTTGCTCCACAGTGGGTTGTGACGTTCTGAGGGACCAGTCGCTAAGCTTGGGGTTTCACGTGTGTTTGACTGCCCACAACCGTTCTGGCACGGGCACCACAGGTTACAGGATAATCAGCGAACCAGCAAACTTTCAACCGTGGTCGGATCGGCGGCAGCGACACAAGGTGCGGGGCGGTCCCGAACCGATGCCGGCGACGCGAACCTGGCCACCAGGTCAGGCCAAGCAAGACTGTAAGATGGCTGGAGCCATTCCTCCTCCTCCTCCTCCTCCTCCTCCTCCTCCTCTGCCTCCCCACATGGGCTCGACGCTCACCCGACAGAAAGGCGCTCGACCCCTCCTTGGTGGACAGCCGATCCGATCCAGTTCTCCCCGTCTCCTCGACTCGGCGCCTCCTGCTCGCTCTCCGCGTCGCCCTGTCTGGAGCGCGGCCCGCGCGCCGCCCCCCCTGCGCCGCCTCTCGAAGCGCGTCGTCACCCCGCTCGCTGCGCCAAAATGCCTCTCACCACACGGTCACGCGCTCTGCTCTTCGACTGCCCTTGCTGGGGGCACCACGCTCCGCAACGAAGGTCGCGCGCGGGGGTCTCGGCCGACCAATCCCCCTGTGCCGCTGGTGCGGCGAGGAGGAGGAGGAGGAGGAGGAGGAGGAGGAGGAGGAGGAGGAGGAGGAGGAGGAAAACCACGAGGAGGTGGAGGAGGAGGAGGTGGAGGAGGAGGAAGTGGAGGAGGGGAGGAGGAGGAGGAGGAGGAGGAGGAGGAGGAGGAGGAGCACCCGGTGCGCCACTGCCACTGCTGGGCTCCTCTGTGACAGGGCTCCCTCGGAGTGCTCCTCGGGTCCGGCAGTCCCTAGGGGGGGGAGGGGCGGCAGTCCGGCAGCGCGCGCGCAGGCCTAGCGAGTTCCCCCGCGACCACAACTTGTACCTCTTCCGCAAGGGGTACAAGCCGATGTGGGAGGATGCCCCGCCTTCTCTCGAAGGAAGGGAAACAACGGCGCAACCATAAACTTTTGGCGTTCCGCGCGGATGTCGTGGATCTGCGCTGGAGCGCCCTGGCGGCGTCCCCGGCGCCGCACCTGGCGCGCGGAGCGCGCCAGGGAGGGGGGCCAGCGCAGATCCAAGAAATTCACGCGGAGAGCCAAAAGTTTGTAGACTCCCGGAGGTCCGTCCCTCCTCCGATGACCTCGGGGGCGGGACGCACTGGCCCTCGGAGAGGCGCGCGCTGCCAGAGCCTCGGTCGGCCCTGCCAGGTCTCCGTACTGCGGGGGCAGAGCGCTCCGTCAGCACAGGCACGGAAGAGGCACAGTGCAGCATGGACATGATCTCAAGTCGGGCATGTCCCTCTACAGGAAAACAAATATCAGGGGACGATTTTTCAATTATTTTTGGACTGTTCTTGAATCTTTGTTTCGTGCATATTTTTGGCATGTCGTCTTTTCCTTCAAAATCCGCCTGTAGGAGGACATGCCCGACCTAAACATAAACGCTCGGAAATCCGCACGGACCTTTAACAGCTTATCGACCACGCCTACGGCGAATCACCGCCGCCCCCTGCCCTTTCGGAAGCGCCTATGTGGCCGTACGTTGTGGCCAGAGGCCTGCCAAGCTATCGGACCATGTGTTCCCCGAGTCGGTTTGGAAAGCCTTCGGGGAACACGTGGGGGAGGAAGATGAAGAGGAGGAGAAGGAGGAAAAAGGAGAAGGGGAGGATGCCTCTTTGGAGCCTCTTGATACACTCTTGGGCTCGATTGGGCCATCTTGGGACCGTCTTGAAGGCCATGTTGGTACTATCTTGGGCTCTCTTGGAGCCTCTTGAGGGCCTCTGGGGCCTTTTGGGGACTTCTCGGGGGCCTCTTTGGCCGTCTTTGGGCGTTTCTGGCTCGTCTGACCCCGTCGGGAGCCGTCTTGGGGGCCTTTCGGAACCGGCTTGGGGCCCTCTTGGGGCGCTTCGGGGCCGTCTTGGATGCTATCTTGGGCGTCTTGGAGGCCTCTTGGTCAGTCTTGGGGCCCTCTTGCCCTCTTGGGGCCGTCTTCGGGGCTTCTTGGGCCTTCATGGGGCCATCTTGGAGGCCTCGTGAGCGATCTTGGGGCGATCTTGGGGGCCTCTTGGGCCGTCTTGAGCCGTCGGAATGCCGAGAAGAAGCAAATGCCCAAATCCTTGAAGCACCTAACGAAAATCAATGATGTAGGCCTCTTCGGGCCCTCCTGGAGTATCTCTTGGAGGCCTCTCGGGTCGTGTTGGGCGCCTCTTGGAGGCTTCTTGGGCGAACTTGAGGTATCTTGGACTCATGGGCCGGCTTGGAGACCGTCTTGGACCATCTTGGGCGGCTTTGGAGGCGATCTTGGACCATTTTGGAGGCCATCTTGGGCCAACTTGGCCATCTTGGAGGCTATCTTGAGCCGTCTTGGAGGATTTTTTTTGGGGATTGAGGTCCTTGGCAATCTTTTCGGGTGGCCAGCGGGACGGGCCGAAGCGCCAGGGGGAGTTCTTTTGAAAAAAGAGCCAAGACCAAAAGCGAAAGGATTGAGCACGCCAGGCACCCCTGTGATGAATCAACAGGGGGCGGCGGAAAACGCCTATGTGGCCGAGAGTTGGGCGCGAGCTCGGCCAAGCTATCGGGCCAGATGTTCCCCGAGTCGGTTTGGAAAGACTTCGGGGAACGCGTGGATGAGCAAGAAGTGGAGGAGGGGAAGGATCAGGAAAAAGGAGGAGGAGGAGGCCTCTTGGGCGCCTCTTGGGGCACTCTTGGGGCCTCCTGGGAGCTTGCTGGGGGCCTCTTGGAGGCCTCTTTGGGGCCTCTTTGGGGCCTCTTTGGGCCTGCTGGGGCCTTTTGGGGCTTCCTGGGGGTCTCTTTGGCCGTCTTAGGGCGTTCCTGGCTTGTCTGACGCCGTCGGAAGCCGTCATGGGGGCCTGTCTGGGTCGTCTTGGGGTCCTCTTGGGGCATTTCAGGGCCGTCTTCGAGGCCATCTTGGGCGTCTTGGACGCCTCTTGGGCCGTTTTGGCGCCCTCTTGGTGCCGTCTCTGGGGCTTTTTGGGCCGTCATGGGGCCATTTTGGAGGTCTCGTGGGCGATCTTGGGGCGATCTTGGGGGCCTCTTGGGCCGTCTTGAGCCGTCGGAATGCCGAGAAGAAGAAAATGCCCAAATCCTTGAAAACCCTAAGGAAAAACACTGATTTTTGGTCTCTTCGGGCCCTCCTGGACGACCTCTGGCTGTCTTGGGCGCCTCTTGGGGGCCTCTTGGGCCGTCTTAGGCCGTCTTCGATGCATCTTGGGCCGTTTTGGAGGCATCTTGGGGCCATCTCAGCCGTCTTGGAGGCCTCCTTGGCCGTCTTGAAGGCCTTTCGGGGGCATCTTGGGGCCGTCTTGGGGGCCTCTTGGGCCGTTATGGGACCATCTTGGAGGCCTCGTGGGCGATCTTCGGGCGATCTTGGGGGCCTCTTGGGCCGTCTTGAGCCGTCGGAATGCCGGGAAGAAGCAAATGCCAAAATCTTTCAAAACCCCAAGGACAATCAATGATGTAGGTCTCTTCGGGCCCTCCTGGAGTACCTCTTGGAGGCCTCTTGGGCCGTCTTTGGGCGCCTCTTGGGGGCCTCTTGGGCCGTCTTGGGCAATATTGAGGCCATCTTGGCCGTCTTCGATGTATCTTGGGCCGTCTTGGAGGCATCTTGGGGTCATCTTGGCCGTCTTGGAGGCTATCTTGGCCGTCTTGGATGCCTCTTGGGGCCCTCTTGAGACCCTGTTGGGGCCGTCTTGGGGCCTCTTGGGCCGTCATGGGGCCATCTTGGAGGCCTCGTGAGCGATCTTGGGGCGATCTTGGGGGCCTCTTGGGCCGTCTTGAGCCGTCGGAATGCCGAGAAGAAGCAAATGCCCAAATCCTTGAAGCACCTAACGAAAATCAATGATGTAGGCCTCTTCGGGCCCTCCTGGAGTATCTCTTGGAGGCCTCTCGGGTCGTGTTGGGCGCCTCTTGGAGGCTTCTTGGGCGAACTTGGAGGTATCTTGGACTCTCTTGGGCCGTCTTGGAGGCCGTCTTGGATCATCTTGGGCGGACTTGGAGACCATCTTGGAGGCCATCTTGAGCCGACTTGGAGGATTTTTTGGGGATTGAGATCCCTTTCGGGTGGCCGGCGGGACGGGCCGAAGCCCCAGGGGGAGTTCTTTTGGAAAACGAACCCAAACCAAAACCGAAAGGGTTCAGCACGCCAGGCACCCCTGTGATGAATCAACAGGGGGCACGCCTACGGCGAATCACCGCCGCACCCCTGCCTTCTAGCTAGAATCGCCCATGTGGCCGAGCGTTGTGGCAAGAGCTCTTCCAAGCTATCGGACCATGTGTTCCCCCAGCCGTTGTGGAAACCCTTCGTCTGCACGCACGAAATGGGTACTGAAAGAATGGGTACAATGCCCAACAGCAGTTCCTGTTCATTTTGAACAGGACTCGCTGTCCGCGCCGCCGCGGCCTGTGTCCATTTGAGAGAGAAGGCCGCCTGCCCAACAGCGGCCGCTGTTGGTTTGGGACAACATTTGTTGTTGGGCATTGTACCCATTTTTTCCGTACCCATTTCGGGCGTCCAAATTTCGGGGAACACGTGGGGGAGGATGGCGGGGAAGATCAGGAAGATGCGGAGGAGGAGGTGGAGGAGGAGGAGGAGGAGGAGGAGGTGGAGGAGAAGGAGGAGGAGGAGGAGGAGGAGGAGGAGGAGGAGAAGGAGAAGGAGGAGGAGGAGGGGGCATCTTGGGAGCCTCTGGGTACACTCTTGGAGCCTCTTGGAGGCATCCTGGGGGCCCTCTTGGAGGCCTCTTGGGGGCCTTCGGGGGCTTCTCGGGGCCATCTTGGTGGGCTCCTAGCCCGTCTGACACCGTGGGAAACCGTCTTGGGGGTCACTCTGGGCCGACTTGGGGCCCTCTTGGGGTGCTCCAGGGCCGTCTTGGAGGCCATCTTGGGCGTCTTGGAGGCCTCTTGGGCCGTCTTGGGGCCCTCTTGGGCCCGTCTTGGAGGCCTCTCGGGCTGCTCTGGGGCCATCCTGGAGACCTCTGGGGCGATCTTGGGGCGATCTTTGGGGGCTCTTCGGGGCAGTCGTCGGGGTTTGCGTTTCCCACAATTTCTAAGTGTGGGAAACGCAGGCCCGGACGACTGCCCCAAGGACATTGCACGGGCAAACGCGTTTTCCCATAATTCGAATTTCGCATTATGGGAAACGCAATTCTCTTCGAACAACCGCACTCAAAGGGCTGGACTTGCGTTTCCCATAATTCGAGTTCCGAATTTCGGGAAACGCGGTTTCCCAGAATTCGGAATCCGAAAGATGGGAAACGCGATTTCCTTTGAAAAACCGCACTCGATGGGCTGGCTTTGCGTTCCCCTAGTTCCGAATTGTGCGAAACGCAATTTCCTTTGAAAAGCCGCACTCGAGGGGCTGGCTTTGCGTTTCCCATACTTCCGAATTATGGGGAACGCATTTTCCTGGGGAAAGCCGCACTCAATGGGCTGGAATTGCGTTTCCCAGAATTCGAATTCAGAATTTCGGGAAACGCGGTTTCCCATAATTCGAATTCCGAATTATGGGAAGCGCAATTTTTTGAACAACCGCACTCAATGAGCTGACTTTGCGTTTCCCATAATTCCGAATTATGGGGAACGCAATTTCATTGAAAAGCAGCACTCAATGGGCTGGATTTGCGTGTCGCATGATTTTCATTCTGAATTTCGGGAAACGCGGTTTCCCATAATTCGAATTCCGAACTATGGGAAACCCAATTTCTTTGGAAAAACCTCACTGAATGCGCTGGCTTTGCGTTTCCCATTATTTAATCGCTTCGCTCATTCCGCCAGCCCTCGAGCGCTCTATGGGGCCTCTTTGAAGCCTCTTGGGGGCCTCTTTGGGGCCTCCTAGGGGCCTCTTGGGGGCCTCTTGGGGGTCTCTTGTGGCTCCTTGGCGGCGTCTTGGGGCCCCCTTGGGCCTCTTGGGGGGCTCTTGGGGGCCTCTTGGGGCGGGGTAGTCGAGTGCACCCCCCTCGGAGGCCACAATCCTCGTGAGGGGTGTCGAAAAAAGGCCCTCAAAACCATCTCTGATCCGACCCTGCCGGGGATCGCCCGGGGTACTTTTCGTCCGGGGACCCCCAGGGGCCGCCCCGCGCGCGCGAAGTAGAAGTATCATTTAGCAGTTACCGGAGATCTTAGCACGCCTCTGGCCCGTTGGGCCGGCGAATTCCGAATTATGGGACCGCAATGTCCTTTGAAAAGCCGCACTCAATGGGCTGGAATTGCGTTTCCCATAATTCGAATTTTGAATTGGGGGAAACGCAATTCCCTTAGAAAAACCACAGTCAATGGGCTGGCTTCGCGTTTCCCATACTTCCGAATTACGGGAAACGCAACTTCCTGGGAAAAACAGTGCTCAATGTGCTGGAATTGCGTTTCCCATAATTCGAATTCTGAATTGCGGGGAACGCGGTTTCCCACAATTCGAATTCAGAGTTATTGGAAACGCAGATTCCATTGAACAGCCGCACTCAATGCGCTGGCTTTGCGTTTCCCATACTTCCGAATTCTGGGAAACGCAATTTCATTTGAACAACCGCACTCAATGGGCTGGAGTTGCGTTTCCCATAATTCGAATTCTGAATTTCGGCTAGCGCAGTTTCCCATACTTCGACTTCTGAGTTATGGGCAACGCAATTGCTTTTGAACAACCGCACTCGGTGGGCTGGAATTGCGTTTCCCATAATTCCGGGTTGTGGGAAACGAGTTTTCATGTTGAGAACCGCACCCAATGGGCTGAAATTGCGTTTCCCATTTTTCGAATTCGGAGTTTCGGGAAACGCGTTTTCCCATATTTCGAATTCAGCATTATGGGAAACGCTATTTCTTTGGAAAAGCAGCATTCAATGGACCTCAATTGCGTTTCCCATAATTCCGAATTGCGGGGAACGCAATTTCCTCTGACACGTCGCACTCAATGGGCTGGAGTTGCGTTTCCCGTCATTCGAATTCTGAATTTCGGGAAACGCCCCTTCAAATACTTCGAATTCAGGATTATAGGAACTGCAATTTCCTTGGACAAGCCGCACTCAATGGGCTGGCTTTGCGTGTCACATCCTTCAGAATTATGGGGAACGCGTTTTCTCTCGACAAACCGCACCCAATGTGGTGGTATTCCGTTCCACATAATTCGAATTTGGAATTTCGGGAAACGCGGCTTCCCATATTTCGAATTCCGAATTATGGGAAACGCAATTTCCTTTGAAAACCGCACTCAATGGGCTGTAATTGCGTGTCTGATGCTTCCGGATTATGGGGAACAGACTTTCCCTTGAGCAACCGCTCTCAACGGGCCAGACGTGCTTTTCCCACGACTCGAATTGTGAATTTCGGGAAACGCAATTCGAATTCCGAATTATGGGACATGCAATGTCCCTATTGGAAAACAGCACTCGATGGGTTGTCTTTGCGTTGAGTTCCGACTAATGGGGACAAGCATTTTTTGGGGCTGGCTTTGCGTTTCCCATAATTCGAATTCTGAATTTTGGGCAACGTGGTTTCGCATACTTTGAATTCAGAATTATGGGAAACACAATTTCCTTTGAACAACCGCACTCGATGGGCTGGAATTGCGTTTCCCATAATGCCGAATTCAGGGAAACGGAATTTCCTTTGAAACACCGCACTCGATGGGCTGGAATTGCGTGTCCCATAGTTCGAATTCTGAATTTCGGGAAGCGCGGGTTTTCCCATACTTCGAAGTCCGAATTATGGGAAGCGCAACTTCCCTCGAACAGCCGCACTCAATGCGCTGGCTTTGCGTTTGCCATAATTCTGAGTTATGGGAGACGCTTCTTTCTTTTTGAAAAACAGCACCCGATGGGCTGGAATTGTTTTTCTCCCACAACTCGGAAGCCCGAATTTCGGGAGACCGGAAAACGCAATTCCATCCCATTGAGCTGGTTTTTCAATGGAAACAGCGTTTCCCATACTTCGGAATTCTGGGAATCGCAGAACGCTCCCCTTGCCTCTCTCTCTCTCTTCTTTTCCTAATCATGACGCTTTGTCCTCTCCCCGTCCCGCTCTCTCTACTTCTTTCTTCTCCGTCCCGCTAATTCCTTCTCCCTTCTACTCCTGCCACTCCTCTTCTCCTCCAATCCCACACACTCCACCTCAGGGGCAACGATAGGGGTGGATAGTATGGCTTTCGGGGATTCATCGACTTCAATCGCTCATTCATCGCCGATTGAGGCCTGATAGCCCAACCAACCTACGCACGTGCGGATTCGCTGTTGGGACCTATCGTCGATCTATCGGCGATGCATCGTCGATTCCAGCTTGATGCTTCCCTCCCTGAGCCGGCCCCCCCTGACGTTTCGGGTGTTGTCAAAGGTTTTCTTGGCTCCAGGTGTCCCCAGGATCCCAGGGGATGCCCAGATGGCCTCTAGAGCATTCCTCACGAGGCCCAGAGGGCTTCAGTGGCTCCAAAATGGTGCGAACAGCTGGGGACACTTTGGGCCAGGACCAATTCTAGCAGCACCTGAACGCTGCCCCTCACCGCCAGGAGTTTCCAGAGGGCGGCTGCTGGATCATCCGCATCAAGCGCAAGGCCCTGCCCCCCCGCCAGGGTCCATTTCGATCGGATCGATCCGATTCGATTTCGGCCCTGACCGGCCCGATTCGCTTCGGTTCGGATTTTCGGGCGATCCGATGCGGCCCGATGCTTGCGTGGCGCTGTCATGCATCCCGGCGCCGCCGATTCGATTCGATGCCCACTTCCAGCCGAGGCGATCCGATTCGCTACACGTTCCGATCCGATCCAGTTTCCCGATTCGATGCTGACTGTTCCTGCCCCGCCTTGTGCGCATACCCTGCGCGGCAGCCCCGCCCCAACCGACACGTGTGCGAGTGCCAGAGTGAGGAGTACTTTATACGGAAAACAGATGGAGGATGAGGAGTGCGACGGAGGAGGAGGAGGAGGAGGAGGAGGAGGAGGAGGAGGAGGAGGAGGAGGAGGAGAGGGAGGAGGAGGAGGAGGAGGAGGAGGAGGAGGAGAGGTGGAGGTTGAGGAGGAGGAGGAGGCGGGGGCGGAGAGGGAGGATGAGGAGGAGGAGGAGGAAGGAGGAAGAGCAGGAGGAGGAGGAAGGATGGATAGATGGATGATACTGATGATGATGATGGTGATGGTGGTGGTCGTGGTGGTGGTGGTGGTGATGATGATGATGCTGCTGCTGCTGCTGATGATGATGCTGCTGATGATGATGATGATTTGTATGCTGCTGCTGATCATGAGTCAATATGGTAATGATCACAATGATGATGACGATGACGATGACGATGGCAATGACGATTAGGGTGATGCTGTTTTTTTATGATGATGCTGATTATGGTGCTGCTGCTGATGATGCTGATGATGCTGATGCTGCTACTGCTGCTGCTGCTGATGCTGCTGCTTCTGCTGCTGATGATGATGCTGATCGCGATGATGATGTAGATGCAGATGCTGATGCTGATGCTGATGCTGATGCTGATGCTGCTGCTGATGATGCTGATGATGCTGATGATGCTGATGATGATGCTGATGCTGATGATGATGCAGGTGCTGATGCTGCTGCTGCTAATGATACAGATGATGATGACGATGATGATAATGATTATGATGATGATGATGATGATGATGATGATGATGATGATGATGATGCTGATGCTGATGCTGATGCTGGTGGTGATCACTCAATCAATCGACACTGCAGCATCAGCACAGCAGCAGTCATGCACTCCTTAAGGCTACGTCGGGGCTGCAACTCCTGAAAAGTCCTCCGAAACGCTCTCGCAGGCCCGTGCACGGTCGGGCACAGGCTCGCTGGCGCCGCTGACGTGGGTGGCCCGCTTAGCAGGCCAGGCAGCACAGCAGCCAGGCCTGTGAAAAAGTTGTTTCATGCTCTAGCGTCTGGGGGTCGAGGGCTGCTCGTGTCTTGAGGCCGACCCAGAAAGCATCGTCATATCGGGTCCTTCGCCCAGGAGACGGCCAATGACGGTCCCTCCCTCGTTACAGATCTTGTCACGTCTTAAAAGCATTTTCCTGGCTTTCTCCTTCGATGAAGTGACCTCACCACCTTCTTATATATAAAGTCGTATTGTATTTATAAAATCGTATTGTATTATATCATATATATATATATATATATATATATATATATATATATATATATATATATTAAAAAGCACCAATGTCTGGGTCCAAAATAGTGATCGCAATATATTCCAGCCATTCGTCCAGAGATCAGAGCCAATCTGTGGGCAAGCCTCTCAAGCTCATCGGGACTCACGTCTTGTTCAGATCGTCCGAGAGCTTGCTCACCTCCTTCTCCAGCGGGCCCCTGGGAGGCGGACTTGCCTTGAACTCCGCGCCTGCCACTCGCAGAGCCTTGAGCGCCGCCCTCTTGATGTCCATCCACTGGTTGCTGAAACACAGCGTGATGCGCACCATGTTGCCGACTTCCTCTTTCTTGCGCGTCTGCCTGCACCGGCAGTGCCTCACCTGCTCCGCCACCTCCAGCAGCGGCTTGGTGAGTATCACATCCGCCCAATCAGCACCTTCTTGCACTCCCCCTCTAGCTCCGCCAACCCGCAGGCCACCCTCACCAGCTCCTTGAAGACGTGGAGGAAGGACGGACCCAGCCAGTCGGCCTCGCCCTTGGGCCTTCCCTTGAGCTCTTGCGCCGCCGCATGGTAATCCAATCCTTGCCGGCCTGGATCGTCCCCTTCGCGATCACGTGGTCCGCCAGCAGCAGCACTTAGTGCGTCGCTCCGATGAGATCGCGCACCTCCGCGGCCTGGGTGAGCGCCAACGCCGTCTTTCGAGGAGGAGGAGGAGGAGGGGGAGGAGGGGGAGGAGGAGGAGGGAGGAGGAGGAGGATGGGTGAGCACCACCATCTCCTCGATCTTCTCCTTCCTGGTGGTGGCCCTCGTGCTTGTTTCTGCGAGCTGCAGCTCGACGTCGCCCCCTCCGCGGTGGAGGCTTCCGCGGCGCGCTTGGTACCCCACTTGGGGGCTCCCGGAGCGCCGTGCTGCCCCAAGGAGCATGGCTCGGAGGGCGTGTAAGTATATTGTCTCCTCCTCCTGCATGGTGGCACAATTCGCTTTAACAGCACCCCCATTTAGGCCTTTCCTCTAGCGCAGACGACCCTTGCCTCGCCGCTGACGCAAAAATATGTGCACGTGTGTGGTCGTGCAGCTCAGCAAGAGTTTTGAGACCGAAGGCTAGAGACAGTACACTCCAGGACCAGTGGAACCACCACCTCACCAACCAATCTCAAAGACGAACGAGGATTGGGCCGAACAACGCAAGCCTGGAGGTGATGTAGAGCAGCCAGTCGCGACGAGAAAACAGCATGGCAAACTGGGCATTGATTCGTTACCACCAGACTTGACCATACATCTATGTGTTTGTGATGCCTCTAGATTTGCGTGGATAACTTCTCATGCGTTAAAAGCAACTCGATGAACAGGCTACCCTCGTCATTCTAACAGTATCATTTCCAAGGGCCGCTTTCAGCCAGAACAGATCTCTGCATCGCCTGCGGATGCTCTTCAGCACGCTGAATACAAATGCTCCGAAGCAGCGAAATACCCAGCTTCACGGAATCAGGGCGCACATCAGAATCCTCAAACATCCTACCTTTGCACCCACCACCTCCTTCCAACTCCTCCAAGAGCAACTCAGCATCTTGCAAGAAACTCTAACTTCTTATATACTCAGAAACTCTCTGGGCCCACGGGTTCGCCGACGGACCCAGGCACCTTGATCGACGCATCGTTTTCGTTTTCAAAGACAATCTCCCAAACACAGCACTCAACCACTGCTGACGATGCTCTGGACACATGGCAGTCAGCGGAAAACACTTTAGCCTACGAGCACGAAGCTCTACCTCAATTGACGGCACCCCCCAGAAGTCACGAACCCGATCAGACGTCCACGACAAAGGAGCCTCCCCATCAACTCGAGGCGCTTGCCCCAGGAGAGCCTTCCCATACAGCGAGCCCAGAGCCGAACCGAGCTTTTTTTACTGCGCCTCTACCTGAAGAAAAAGCTTCCAGATTCCGCGCCGCCGTCCCCCAGGACCACCCCCGTGATCATCGGCCTCTTGAACCCGAAGGGGGCCCTACTGAGATGCCAGAGGCCACTCTGGGAGTAGTGCGCCCGATGTACCGCGGCCCGTCTGGCACCCATTTCTCAAGTATCGGAGACGCTCGGACGCAAGCCCCTCAGCTACAACTCGTGCCCCGACATGCCGACCTTCCGGAACTGTTTCTCCTGGACGCACAACTTCGCGACGTCTGATTTTGTGGAATTCGACATGGGCCCCTCGCCCATGAGACTCAGCATCACTATCTACGTTTTGTGTTTTGCATGCTGCCATCAGCGAGCAAGGCCTTCGAAAGTAAGGAAGAGGAAGTCCTCGGCGCACTCTCAATCGACTTAGCTCTAGCGTCCCAAATGCAGACGATGAAGGTCATCAGCGTACTGACAGAGTGATAAGCCAAGCCGGCCAGGCACAAGATGTCAACAAGCCTGAAGCTCCTCAGATCCCAGCCCCTCTTCTTCCTCTCCACGTCGCCATTCAGCTATAGCAGACTGGGGTGCCCAAGTCCACGCTGCCATAATGAAGGGGTCTCCCAAAAGGCCACCAACTTGCGGCCTGAGAAGTAGATCAGTACCACTGCTGAGAATCGAAATAAGTTATAGTGCCACTCTCTGCCTAGCCACTCGTTGAACAGCTCCGTCGTGCAGACGATCTGCTGCTTCCATGGGGCGAGTGATGATTGCTGCCAAAACATTTGCCACATCAAAGAACTGCTTGCCATGGCTCCTCCCCATTTCTCCAGCTCGCAAAGCAACGACATTGCTAGTAAAGAGAGGGGTCTCCTTGTATCGTCCCTTCCGATTCCATGCACCGTGGGGTCCATGCACCTTCTTCTAATCTGTGAAGCAAGGCGCGACTTTCCAATCTGCGGCAAAAGATGAATCCAGCGTTTTACTTTCGGTCCTTCATCGCAAGTTCTAGGCACTCCCGTTGTGCGACTGCAAGTTCATCATCTCGGATTGCAGCGCGCAGCGCGAATACAACGACATCCAAGAAACACAGCACGTGTGAAGTAGTGCGTTGCACGACTAACTTCCTCGGCCCCGAGACCACCGCGAAGCTGTCCAGGGCGAACTCCCGCTCCAGGATTCAAGGCCATGTCCCGAAGCTCACCAGGTGCAGGCCAAGCAGATCCTGGCTTCCGTTTTGAAGTGCGCCTGAGTGCTCGGCGTAGCCTTTTCACGTCCTCCGTCGCGTCCTCCTTCGTACTCATGTCCATCAGTGGTTCCTCAACCTCAGGAGCAATAGGCCACTCGACAAGCTCCTGCGCCTGCATGCCCCTCGCCTCCCCAGAACATCATCTGCTCGTTCCCCATGGGCATGGCCGTGGGCATGGCCGTGCGCAAGGTGAGGTGATGCCGATCTCGGGGCCCCTTCCTACATCCAGCAGCCAGTCGAGCATGTTTTGCCACTCCATGTGTACCGCGTATCTTCCATGCTTCCTGTGCCGCCTCTGTGAAGTCCTCCCGTCGGGCCTCAAGAGCCCCCCTCCCCATCCTCCCGAGCATCGTCGTGATCGTCTTGATTCTGGAGGAAAGCTCAGCCTCCAGAGGCCCATCCTCGTCCGCCTCTCCAAGACGCTGCCGAACTTCCTGTCGATCTCCAAGTCACTGACTGCGCTCGCGCTCTCTCTTTGCCCGCCCTCGGACCACGGCGCCTGCCTTGAGAAAACACGTTGCGCCCGCTTTCCGTAGCCCTCGCTCCAGGAGCTCGGAAAGCTCATCAGGATGGGCACCCCTCAGATATCCGTTGCCACTGCTCCTGCTAATCCTCCATTCGCCTTTCCACTTCATCCAAGAGATCTCGCTGCTTGAAGCCGCCCCTCACCGCTGCCATCATCGCATCTCTGTCCAACCGACGACCACCAGTAACATCAGGAGGTGCGGGCCCGCGAACGGCTCCAGCAGCGGGCCCCCGAGGCCGGCCCGGCTGGACCGTCGCTGGGACGTGGTCCTTCCGTCTCGCCGTCGCTATCAGCTGTAACTTGCGACCTAGCTCGCCACTCAGGGTCGCCGCCGCAGGCGACGATTGAAGATTATCAATCTAGTCTACAATGGACTGACTTCATCTCCGTAGAAAGTTGGCGTCGAAGACCTCATCGAAGCAAATTCCATGAAGTGTGTCTCCGTCAGCTCGCGGAAGGCAGCGCCAGCAAAATCTTCATCGATGCGCCAGTCGATGGTGCCGTAGCCTTGTTGTCCAAATCCGCTAGGTCTTTTGTCCGATTGGTTCCTACCCCGTCATTGAGGTCCGTGAGAACTATCGGCGTCGATCTCCCTGGGCACTTCGCAAGCTCGCTTTGTAACAATCTAGTAAGCTTTTCAACCGTGGAGTTGTCTTGCACCTGCTTTCGAACCTGCGTCACGCGTGGCAGAACATACAGACTAATCGAGGTAAGGTCCTCGCTCCTGCTCTGAATTCTTGTCGCCTGTCAGCGACCTGTCAACTCACAAGTGCCTCTCTCCGCACTCCGAACCTGATGCTCCTTGAACCTGGAATGCAAGAGAAAGGAGATCCAATACTATCGATTAGCACAACTAGCTCCTCGCTGCAGTCCAGCTTTAAGAGGTAGTCTACCCTCAATGTACCTCCTCTGCACTGGCATATCTTTCGCCCGAAGCTGTGTGCCAACGAGCGCCACCGCACATATGTCCTTAGATACTGCCTCGATGTCCTCAAGCCTCGGTCTCGTCGAAACAGCCAAAGGATTGAATTGCCAGACACGCTAAACATGGCCTCCATCAGCGGCGCCTCCTCGCCACAGTACCATAAGAAGCAACAGAGCATGGCGAGTGCCCAGAGCGGTCATCATTCAATCTGAAAACTTGACATCCCAATGCAGAAATAGTGACTGCTCTGGTGCGCCTGTCGCTCAGAAAGCCTGAGCCCCATACGGCAACTGATGATGCTAACAGTGATGATGATGCTGCTGCTGCTGATGATGATGATGATGAGGACGAGGGTGAGGAGGACCAGGGTAAACCCGAGACGTATCAGCGATGTTGCAATACACCCTCCAAGCTCCCTCTTCATAGGCTCCTGCAGTAATTGGTATCATTGCGGGAAGTGACTCATCGAATGGCAAGTATGCCCAGACATTATTCCTTGCACTTCAGCGCCGCGAGTGAACAAGACTGCTGCGTCCGGACAATCCATGTGACTTCAACAACGCAAATTCACATGACTGTTGCGTCGTGGTATTCCTAGCGCGTGCCAGGGCACCATTTCTGGGACTTGGACCAATGAATCCGTGAAACCCTGGTAAACATTCAAGACGAATGTGCGCGTCGCCAAGGCGAGAGCCAAATTCTGGAAACGCGTCGCGCTGCGAACTTTTCATATTAATGTGTGCTTCGCTAAGGCGAGGGCCACATGCTAAAACGGAGCATGCCCCACACCAGTGAAGTTGGTGCATTTTTTCAGACGAGTGTGCGCGGCGCGAATGTGAGAACCGCATTTTGAAAGCGACCCGCCTCCCACCCGTGAAACCGTCGTACATTTCAAGCTTCGGGCTCATACACAGGCGGGGAAGTCTTAGGCGAACCACCCAGCCCGCCCTACGGACACGTGCGCGGGTGCGATGGGGAGGCGTTGTTCATAAGGAAAAGGGATGGGGGAAGAGGATGATGGAGGCAGGCGGAGGATGAGGAGGCGGAGAAGGAGGCGGATAAGGCGGAGGATGAGGAAGAGGAGGATGAGGATGGTGTTGTTTTGTTGTTGACGATGGTAATAATCGTGTTGATGACGATGATGATGTTGCGGATGATGATGGTATTGGTGATGATGACGGTGCGGATGCTGATGTTGATGCTGATGTTGATGGCGAGGATGTTGCGGATGATATTGATGATGGTAATGCTGATGATGCTGATGATGCTTATGTTGATGTGCATGCTTTTGTTGATGATGACGATGATGAGGATGACGATACTGAGGCTGATGATGCTGATGATGATGATGATGATGACAGTGGTGATTGCGATCGTGATTGTGATGGTGACGGTGATGATGTTGCTGATGGATGGTGATCCCGCTGATGATGTGAATGATGATGGTGATGTTGATGCTGTTGAAGTTGACGTTTATGATTATGCCGCTACTGTCGACTATGATGATGATGATGATGTTGATGATGATGGTGATGGTGCTGGTTGAGGTGGTGGTGTTGATGCTGCTGCTGATGATGATGGATATGATAGTGATGAGGAGGAGGGTGATGATTATGATGTTGATGCTGATTATGTGAATGATGATGCTGATGCTGCTGATATTGATGATGCTCATGATGCTGACTATGCGGATGAATAATAATCGCTTAATCATAATATTATTTCGAATGCGTAGTATCAACAACACTAATGACCATACTACGGGTAATATATACCATACTATCAAGGTGAAGTTTACAATAGTAATTCAAATGACAACACTGTCACTAACATAAGATGAACCGTAATAGTATTAGTAGTATGGATATTCTAAAGTGTTATTACATTTTTTTATGGATCTTAATTTGAATAACAATATTCACGCCACGAAGCATATTGATAACAAGAGGTAAGAACAGTCAGTCATACGAGGAGGAGGAGGAGAAAGGGGAAGAGGAAGAGGAAGAGGAGGAGGAGGAGGAGAAGGAGGTGGACGAGATGCAGGAGAAGGAGGAGGAGGGCGGAGGAGGGCGGCGACGACGGCGTACGGCACCCCCGCCTCGGCTGCAAGAGCTGCACGCGGGCGGGGGGCGAAGCGGGCCGCGGGGGGCCAAGCGGGTCCCGCGGCAGGCTACCCAGGGCTACGTGAACCATATGTGGGAGAACCTCTTGCTCGCCTGCATCGGGGAGGCGCTGTCCCCCACCGCTCTCCCTTCCTCCCTCTCTCCTTCCTCCTCCCTCCTCCCTCCTCATCCCTGGCTGTCCTGTGCCCGAGCATCGGGCACTGCACACGCCAACTCCAGGACAGCACCGCGTGTGCGGGACTTTTCGATTGGTATCTCCCCCAGACCCGGCCATGGCCCAAAGCGATGGCGCCTGGCAGCGTCCCTCCCAGGTGCAGGCTGCTGGCCCCTGGTGGAACAAGGACCACGGGGGAGCGAGTGCGACGTGGCGTGCCCAGGCCAGAGCTCAGCAGTCCCTAGGAACCTCTCGGGCGGCGCGTCGCTGGTGGCGGCGCCGGCTGCTCGCCCCCCCCCCCGCAGGACGTGTGGCAAGAACGCCGCCGGCGGTGCTCGCACTGCGGCTGCAGGAAGAACCTCATGGGCCGGGCCGTCTGCAAGCACTGCGGCGGGGGCCGTGACACCTCGTAGGAGGAGCTCGGGATCAATCATTCCGGCAGCGCCACGCCGTGGCTGGAGCTGCCTTGGCGCCCTGGGCCCCTTCGCGCGCCTCCTGCCAGTGCCGACGGTCCCGGCGGTTCTTGTCAGCCAGGCGCTGGCGGTGGAGGGAACTCGTCTCTTTCTGCCGACGAGCTGCGTGCCATAATCACCCTGTGCGAGAAATCGGGTGACAGCGTGGGCGTTGCCAAGCATACGACCGCGCTTGACCGGCTCACCCATGATACGGCTCCAGTTCCTGCCCAGCAGCGCGCGGCCAAAGACGATTCCTCCGTTCAGAACTGGAAGCGTCAGCTAGGCGTGGAGCTGGACAGCTCCTCTCAGCTCGACAGCTCCTCTCAGCTCGAGGAGCAGGTCTCCCGGCAACAGGCTGAGGCAGCCGAGGCACGGGACGACCTCCACACGTTGGACGCTCAGTACAAGTTTTTTGTTCAGGAGCTTGCATGGGGGCATGCTCCAGCCTGCCAGCGTCCCGCCCCAGCTTGTCAAGCTGGAGGAAGTCCAGGACTTCTCGCAGGGCAGCTCGACCTGGTCTCGGTGGATGCGCTCGCCCAGTTCGAAGCGGCCGTGTACGAGGTCTCTCAGTCTGATAAGGGTGAGATGCGGTCTCGGCGCAAGCAGCTCAACGACCCGATCAAGGAGGCCTTGCAAGCAGCTCTTCCAGGATGCCGCCAGCAAAGCGACGGCGATCCGTGCTGACCAGACCAACCACTTGCTGCGCCTCGGCATGAAGCGTAAGGGGGCTGGTGGCGAAGTTCACGTCGGCGGAGGTGCTGACGCTGCTGCTGCGGGTGGCTCCGGTGATGCCAGTTCGGCTGCTGCCCTCCCCAGCGCCGCTGTGCCTGGAGCTGCCGGGGGGGGGGGTGAACCCGCTGTGACATGAGCCGCTAGAGGAGGAGCTGCTGTACGCGCTCGTGCTGATGCAGCGCTGGGTGACATGCACGAGGCCGCCCTCCCTGCTTCTGCCGCTACCTGAGTCAGATGGTCTGAGTGGCAGGGGGGATCTACCTGTGCTTTTTTTTTGTGCGGCACGGTGCCGCAAGGACTGGGGAGAGAGATGGGCGGGGTGTCATTGTCCGTTCCCATCCGCGATCTCACTGCGCCACCCCAGCCAAGTGCTCGATCGAGCCCATGTTGAAACCCTTTTGGCTTGCTCAATCGCCGATCTTTCATCCTATTTGCATTCCCTGCTGAGTTCTGGCCGCGGCCCAGCGTCCGCCGTCTGTGGAAGCATGAGTTATGACGTGCAAGGCTTGTCGCCAGTGCCCCGCCTTGTTTGTGGCTTCTCGTGCCGCTCGGCATCTTCCGCCCCTCCTGTCGGTTTAGACGAGCAAGCGGGCAGTTTTGGCAGTTTTTTTTTTTTTTTTTTTTTTTTTTTTTTTGGTGTGCTATTTCCAGGCCGCTGTGCCGGGTGTGTTTCGACGGGGGGTCTGCGCGTTGAATTGTACAGTTTGGTCTTCGGCCCGGGACTGGTTGCTGCAAACTCGCTCCCACGTCGCTTTGATGCCAGATCATCACCTTGTAGGGGAACAGGTGGCCCGCGCTCAGTCTTGGCCACTGTGGCGCGGTTGGAAAGGCCTTTTCTCGGGCGCTAAGGTGATTGAAGATGGTGGTCATTCGGCTGGGGTGGCGGTGGTTGCTAGGAGCTTTGTGGGCTTATGCATGACGAGTGGTGGGGCACGTATTCAGCAGCATCGTGCCACTGCAGCGTAGATCCACGCTGGGCGGTCGAGTCCAATCTTGGTTATGAGTTTATATCTGCATCATTGTCAGGCGCTTGGACGTGACAACGTGCGAATTCTATCCAGGGCTGGTGCTGCTGCGAGTGCGTCGCTTGCGTTTTTTTCATCGCGGGTGTCGATTTCAACGTGGAGCCAGTGATTCTTGGGGAGTGGCAGTGTGCAGAGACGCTTGGGGGGCAGCTAGTTTCTTCTCCCGCGGGGCATGTTTTTCTTCGGCGGGATCCCAGGTGTATGATCATTCTGTGGTCTCGGCGGGCCTCTCGACGGGGGTCGGGGGCGTCCGCGTCGATGAGCACGCGCCGCTGTCGCCGCGCCCCCCGCCCTCCATTGCCTTTTTCGAGCAACTGCGCGGCTTGGCGTTTTTTGACGTTTAGGAAACCGCCGCCGCCGCCGACAGATGTTCCCGTTGGACCTGCCCTGGTGCCGCCCGAGTGGTCGGCCGCGTCGTGCCTTGCGGGCTCGGCGCTGGAGAGTGCTCGGCAAGGTGGCCCCCAGACATCCGAGGGGCGCATTCCACTTTCTGCTGTGTGTGCCAACTTGGCGGAGAGAGAGAGAGAGAGAGTTAGCGGGTTCGCTGCAGACTGATCTTGTAGAGTCCGGTTACCGCGGAGCGGCGCCGCGCGTTGTTTGGGCCAGCGTCCATCGCTGTGATGCTCGGCCCGCTCGATTTTCCCTTGCTCTATGCTGTTCTGTGGCTTTCGTAAGCTCTTCGTCGAGATGAGCGGCCGTGCACTTACTGTGACAGCGTAGAAAGCACCGAGAAGGTCCCCTCGGGGCCCGCCGCTTTTATCAAGCAGCAGTTACTTTCCAATGCATATCCGAGCTTTCTGGCAGAGCTCGCGAAGTTGTGCAGCGGGATTGGCCTCTCTTGGAAGATGTGCATAACATATCCGTCAATTTTGCTGATGGTTTGATTGAAGCTACTAAGGAGGCGCGCCTTGTTTCGGATTCTCCCAGGAAGGAGCGGCTGCTTCCGGATATCCAGACGGGGGGGGGGGAATGCGCATTCGTGGACTAAGCCAATTGATCGGGGGACTCCAACTTCAACTATATCGGCTGGAGGTCAGATGCTGGCCGACCCCCCCTCTCTCTTCTCGAGGCTGAAGGCAGGCAGTTTCAGGACTTGTGGCTTGCTGATTATGATCTGACTGATTACGATGTGCCGAAGGCTTCTGTCCCCGGCGAAGAGATCCCGCGGGTTCGCTTTGAAGCTATTCGAACCGCCAGCCGTGGCTACAGCAGACATTCCGCGGTAATTGTGGATGGATTTCGCATGGGGCATTCTTCGATGCTGTGCGATGGAGCTCTCGATGTTGTCGTGGTCATTTTCTCGATCATGTAAACCACTTCGGGATCCGGCTTCAAGTCGGCTACGGGCGTTGTCTGGCGGCAGTCGGCCCAGAGTGAGAGTGTCGTGCGTGGCTGTGGTTTCAATTTCTTGTGGGACTTATGCGGGTTTCACGAACTTATGGATCTTGAGGCGCTCGAGCAGCGCCGCGCAGACCCCGAGGTTCCTTTGCCCAGTATCGAGATTTCGATCCGTGCTTATTGGGGCGCGCGGTGCATTAACATTGCGGGCTATTTGAATGGGCCTATTTACACAGCCCTTGGGGGCGTCGTTGCTGGGTGCAGTCTTGCGACCACTTGCGCGCGGATTTACTGCGTGTGTGCCTTCCAGGGCGCGCGGCTCGCGCATGGCGTTTCGCTCGACTTATTCATCGACGACGTTGCTCTCGAGCAGGGGGTCCTCCAAGGATGTGCTCGCGGGCCTCGGGGTGGGTTCTGATGTTGTGTATCGTGCTGTGACGGATGATAGCAAGGCTGTGGTTGCTCCTGAAAAGGCCGCAGTTGTGTCGAGCGACAGTGGGCTAGGTCAGTCTTTGGTTTGTTGATTGGACCGATCTGTTGGGCAGTCGGGTCGCGGACACGACGGTCACCTTGGGTGTCGATGGTACGGCGGGGCGCCCATGACGCGTGCGTGGCCGCGGAGCTAATTTTCGACGGCGTTCCAGGCATTTCCGAATTCGATTTCCCAGGATCAAGAGCGGCATCACATCTTGGGTTGGCAGGCCAAGAGAGTTTTCGTGGGTGGCCCGTTGCCCGGATAATGTTACGGTGCTGGGATTCACGGTGTCAGCAACTTTGAGTTGGGCCAGATTCGCATTCATGCAGGCCGGTGTTTTAGGCCGTCGCGTGGCGGGCGATCCTCCGCGCCGGCGCGCATTTTCGACGACGGGCCGTGCTGGTGTGGCATGGTTGTTCCTATAGATCGTTTGTCAGAGCAGGTTTGGGCGGCCCGCGGTCCCGCCTTTCGCTGCTCCGTCGGTCCGCCAGGACTTCGCAGGGCGCGGTCGAGTGTGTTCGAGCGGTCGCCCCCGCAATCCTGGAGGCAAGCCTCTGGGCTTTTTCAGCGCGTTGTGCATGTCGGTATGCAGGCTGGGGCGGTGTATGAAGAACTTCGTGTCCCTCGTGGACCGCAGGGGGGTGGGGGTCATGCTGACCTCAGCCCGGCTTTCCTCGAGTGCATTTTGCGCCGTGTTGCAGTTCGTCGGCTTGAGTGCGAAGCTGCCGATGAGCTTCAGGTCGGTTGGTCTCGCGCGTGATTAGACGTGGCCCGAGCTGAAGCCTGGGCAAAATGAATATGCGCCTCTTGAGGCGGGCGCGGGGAGAAATGTGGTTTGCGAGGGTTGCTGGGCGGCCGAGCGCGCCTCTTCCCTGGGGCGCTGCTCCCCCGTGCAAAAAGGCCCCCGACGCGGTCTCTCACAGGCTC